TTTCCCCGTTCCAGGCACCCCAACGTTCTCCGTCTCTACAATTATTTCCACGACCGGCGCCGCGTTTTCCTCATCCTGGAGTTCGCCCCCAGGGGGGAGCTCTACAAGGAACTGCAGCGCTGCCGCCGCCTCGACGCCACCAGAACGGCCACGGTGAGTCCAAAAACCCCAAAAATCACCCCAGAAATGGATCCGGGGACCCCAAAAACCCCAAAAATCACCCCAGAAATGGATCCGGGGACCCCAAAAACCCGGAAAAACACCCCAAAAATGACCCCAAAAACGGATCCGGGGACCCCCAAAACCCCCAAAATCACCCCAGAAACGGATCCGGGGACCCCAAAAACCCCAAAAATCACCCCAAAAACGGATCCGGGGACCCCAAAAACCCCAAAAATCACCCCAAAAACGGATCCGGGGACCCCAAAAACCCCAAAAATGGATCCGGGGACCCCAAAAATGGGTTCAGGGACCCCAAACACCCCAAAAACCCCAAATCCCCTAAAAAAATCCCCCAAAATCCCAAAGGGATCCTGGGAACGGGGAAAGTTCAGGGAATTCCCCCAATTTGGGGTTTTTTTGGGTCGATTTTTGGGGGTTTTGATTCGATTTTTGGGTCCCAAAACCCCGAATTTTCGCGAAATTCCCATCCCGTCCGTCACAAACAATCGCACAAAATTTGGGTTTTTTTGGCTTTTTTTGGGCGATTTTTTTGGGATTTTTTTTGTTTTTGGGGTTTCCAGACCCCCCAAATCCATTTTTGGGGTCGATTTTTGGGGGTTTTGAGTCAATTTTTGGGTCCAATAACCCCAAATTTTAGCGAAATTCCCATCCCGTCCGTCACAAACAATCGCACAAAATTTCGAATTTTTGGGGGTTTTTTGGGCAATTTTTTGGGGGGATTTTTTTGGTTTTGGGGTTTTCAGATCACCCAAATCCATTTTTTGGGTCGATTTTTGGGGGTTTTGAGTCAATTTTTGGGTCCAAAAACCCCAAATTTTAGCGAAATTCCTGCCCCATACACCACAAATAATCGCATAAAATTTCAGATTTTTTGGGGTTTTTTTTGGGCGATTTTTTTTGTTTTTTTTTTGTTTTTGGGGTTTCCAGACCCCGCGGACCCATTTTTGGGGTGAATTTCCCGTTTTTGGGCTCAGCTGATGGAGGAATTGGCCGACGCTCTGCTCTACTGCCACGGGCGGAAGGTGATCCACCGCGACATCAAACCCGAGAATCTCCTGCTCGGCCTCAAGGGGGAGCTCAAGATCGCGGATTTCGGGTGGTCCGTGCACGC